AAAAAAAAAAAAAAATAATAACCAACAGCAACAAAGAAACAGAACGAAAAACAAAACCGACCAGTCCGCTTCTTCTTGTTGTTGTTGACGGAGTGAAATGCACATAACTCCTCTCTGTGTTTGGTTACGGGCTTTGGGGAATGGAGCCTCTACTAAACACATCTTGACGTGATAAGGGCAAGGTCCACGTTATGTGAGACCCATTGCGAAAGAATCATATTACTCAGAGACTTTTTCTCCCAACATTTTCTGTTTTCTTTTTTTTTTCTTGTGGTGACCCTTCTTTATGTGGCAATGTGCGTTTCTGTTGTTTTTTTTCCTTTCTCTTCGCTCATGTGGATGAATTTGCTGCGGAGCCCACCCCCGGGGCAGCAGTCCTGGTTCTACGCCTGTAAACCTGTGTGTGTGCTGCGCGCACCGGTGGGACGCAGCTGACATTGACCCTACCATGCACTCCTTCCCGTGTATGGTGCGGAGAGAAAGGAGGATGGAGTAGGCAGAGCCACACTCGCCGCCCTCCTTCCGCCTCATGCTGCACGCCGAGATGCAACCACTGCCGCATCATCATTGCAATCCTATTTTTCATCATCATTGCTGCGGTCGCTGCGGCGTGTCGCGTGCAAGGGGCACGTCTATAAGGGAACCAATAATGAGCAGAGAAAGGGAGGTGGTGTAGACGAGAAGGAAGGTGGGTGGCAATGTTGTGGGAGCGTGGAGTGAAGTGAGTGAGTGAATGTGAGTGCGTTAAAAGGCGACAAGGAAAAGGAGTGTTGTGCCCAGCGTGTGTGCTCGTGTGCCTGAAAATAAGGTGCCGGGGCGGGGGTGGGGCACTTCCACAGCACGAGACAACACGGAAAAAATAACTGGTAGGGAGGGGGGAAAGGAGTTACGGCACGAGTCTTGACATTGTTATATGTTGAAAAAAAAAGAAAAGCTTTTTATTGTTTAGCACTGGCGCGAAAAACAGCAACAACAACGAAGGCAAAAGCGGAAGGAATGACCTGGAAGGAGTTGAATGAAGGTGAAACGGGAAACACGTTGATCCCATTTTCGTTCCTTCGGTTCTTCTCTTCGCGCCTGTACGTTGACGGGAAATAAGGCGCAGTTAGAGAATCCCTGGCGCTCCACCCCCTTCTGCTCACGTTCTTTGGGCCACCACCTGAGTGTACGCGAATTGATGCCATCCCATTCTTTATATGTTTTATTTTTACAAAATTTTTTTTGTGTTGCTTCTCTCCTGTTCTCTTCCTCTGCTTTGGTGGCCCGGGGAAGACTCACTCCTGGACGGACGCTACACACCTTGACGATCCCCCTTCCCCCTATTTCTACACGTACGTGAGAGGCAACATGGGCTCCACTCCTTCCACCCCCAAGACTGAGTTCATGAACGGCAGACCATCCTTCAATGGTGCGACGAGGGTGCACCCGATGTTTAACGGCCTTCTCTACCGCCTAAGCGACCGCAAGTCCAACCGCTGGGCCTTCTACAATGACTCGCGCGACCACACCATCCATGTTGCCATCCTCTTCGATTACGACAGCCAGATTGTGCCGCTTGGCTCCACCACGGCGTACCGCATCGATGACCCCGACCCAGGATGCGAGGATGACATGGGAAAGTACCTCGCCGAGGTGGACGTGGCTCCGCTCGCGACGGAGATGTTCGTAGAGGGCAGGGTCACCGGCTGGCGCGTTGACACGCTTGAGGCGAAGACGGCTGAAGATGAGCAGATGTACCGCTTGTAGAAGGGGCACAAAGTGTGAAAAAGCAAAAAAAGGAAAAAAAACAACAACAACAACAAAAACAACAAATGTGTGGCGGGATTCGAACAAGAGGAAACCGTTCAAGGTAGAAGGAAGGACACTACCTGCCTCTGTATCCACAACTACATATATGTGTTTATAGGAAGGTCATAGTGGGCGAGACGAGAGATGGTGGATGCACAATCATGGCAGCGGCGGGAGCGCAGGGAGCAGACGCCCAACAAAGAGAGGGGGGAGAGAGAGAGGAGGGGTGAGAGAGAACGTGTGCCCTGTAGCAACATGCGAGGCGCTGTGCTCATGTCTGACATAATCGTGTCATAATAGAGGAAAGAAGGTAAAACCTAACAAAAAAAAATAACAGCAAATGAACCGAACAAGGAAGCGAGAAAAGAAAAAAAAATGCATTGTGTTGGGTTTTTGCTTTGGTCCGTATGTTGTTTCTCCAATTTCTCTTTTCAGGCGTTGGCATTCGCAGTCCTGCTGCCGTCTTTGCCTACCATATGCACCTGAAACAAAAAAAAAAGACGGAGTCCGGGGCAGGGAATAACAAGACAGGGGAAGTAGAACACAAAGGAAACAGAGGAGTTTGGTAAAGAAGCCTGGGTACCTCGGGTAACGTGAACACAGACGCCTTTTTCTTCGAACCCCCTCGTTTATTTTTGGTTGGCTGTGCTGAATGAGGCACGTGTTTGTTTTTGTTTTTTTTTTCTCTTTGTTTGTTCAGGCTCGCTCTTTACACCCCTTTCAGTCCTCCTCCTTTGGCTGCCCGGTGAATTCATCGCGATGTGTGTATCCCCTCTCGAGGCTTTATATGGTGTCTTTTTACGTCATTCTTTTCTCTCGCCGTCATTGTTANTTCATCGCGATGTGTGTATCCCCTCTCGAGGCTTTATATGGTGTCTTTTTACGTCATTCTTTTCTCTCGCCGTCATTGTTACTCTTGTGCCGCGCTGTCCTCTCGCAGTGTTGCGTCATCAGACTACTGCTGTGCACGGACACACATTGTGAATCCTCGCCTCATCTCTATTCTTCCTCTCCTGTTGATTCTCGTTATCTGACTGCAATTGTGCTTGATCGGGTGCTCGGATAGTTGCATGAATCAGGCCGCTGGAGAGAGGGCACGGGAAGGGGAGGCAGAGACGTAAGCCAGGAGCACGCACACATACACAGATATACGTACCTACGTACATACGCAAAGTGAAACACACACCCAAAAAAGGTGGCTCGGGAAGATTAAACACACCCTTACAGAAAGGAAAGACAGAAACACCTCTCGAAAAAAAAATAAAACAAAGAAATAAATCGGACCAGAGACACGTCTGCCTCTTCAACTCCGATTGAAAAAAAATTGTTTCTGTTGGCGTTCCATCACCGTCTCGTTTAGACACGTGCGCTGATACGCCGTGTGACCTGTTTGTGCCCTCATTGGCCGTGCGTAATTGACTATAGAAACGTCTGGCGGGTGTACGCGTTGTAGTGTGACACGGGCTTCAGTTGTTCCTAGCGGTGGTGTGCTGCTGGGGCCGTTGCCTCTGTGCACACCAGTGAGAAAGAGAACGAGAGCCGAAAAGAGGAGTGGGTCTGGGTGAGTGACGACACAAGAGTGAAGAGGTGGGAGGGGCTTGACTCTGGGTGGCGATGGCACAGCCACCTCCATCACCGCTGCCGCAGATGCGGCTGCCGCTCTCTTCGTCGTCGTCGTCACCACCAATTGGCCCCCGGCAGGTCGCTGCTGCTGCTGCTGCTGCTGCTGCTGCGGCTGAAACCGCCAATACGATCACCGCCTCTGCGTCCAACGATGCCGGTGACACTAGTGGTGGCGGTGAGCAGAAGATGCCTCCGATGTGGCCGCGTACTGACGCCGAGGTGGAGGCGGTGGAGCGTCACCGGTGGGGACGACTGGTGCAGGAGGGATGGTTTCACCAGAGCTTGCAGCACCAGCGATGGGACGAGGAGATGTTGCTACGTGGTTCAGCGTACCGCACTCGTGCCGTGGCAGCGCGCACAACGGTGAGAATCACCACAACAGCAGCACTGGTGCTAAGCCTCAACATCAACCCAGCACTTTGGACAGATGAAGGGTCGCCACCACCGGAGGAGTCTTCGCGCCTGTACGTGTGGCGCTCGCCCTCCCTGCTCCCAGGCGATAGATTGAACATACTCGGTGAACTGGGTCAGCAACTTGAGCGACAGTACCTCTCCCTCTCTAAGCGGCCGTTGATGGTCAGCTACTGCCTCAACGCAAGGCCAGAGGACTTTGTGCGAGGTCTCTCGCAATGCCGCCAGCAGGCGGGGCCGAAAAGCAAAGTCATATTGCACTACGGAGGCTATGGAGTGCCACGGCCTCGTTGTGGGTCGCTCTTTCTTCTTCCTCCGTCTGGAGAGCCGGTGAAGTACTCGCTCGATACGCTCCGCATGCAGGTAGGATTCCCACTCGTTATGGTGGCGGACTGCGCGAACGCTAGAAGTATTCTAAACGGCCTACTAAAAACACGGCAGAATGATGATGATAGCCAGCACTTTGCGTACCAGAGGTATGGCAAGACCATTAGTGGGACCGCGTTGGATGACACAGACCGTGCCGACATGGCGTTGCAGAATTGGGGACGACACGATGGGCCTGCAACTGCTGCCATGGATGGCGCTTCTCCTACGGCGTCATCAAACTGTGCGGCGTTGCGGTCAAACTATTGTGGATTGGGTTCTGGTGCGGCGTCATCAACAACTGTGCCGCTGCGGGATGATTTCTTTTTTATTGGAGCGACAGAAGACGGGCCTCTGGTTCAGCATCCGAAACTGCCATCGGATATTCTGACTTCGTGTTTGACAACACCTGTTCAGATGATACTGCTGTGGTTTATCGTGGAAAATGCTCATACGGCTAATTTGCATCCACTTTTCATGCATCTAGTTCCGGGGACACTGGAGGACAAAAAGACTCCACTGGGCCAGTTGCAATGGGCTTTCATGTCCATCACTGAATGTATTGCGTGGTCGTCTTTCTCGCATGGATTGTTTACTCGCCTTTTTCGAGAAGACGTTGTTGTGGCGCCGCTATTTCGTGGGTTTTTACTTGCGGAGCGCATCATTACGTCTCTGGGGGGTACCGTCAGTGTATATCCGCCTTTGCCACGCACGAGTAACAATGCTATGTGGGACACGCTGGACAATATCATTGACCGTACTCTTGTTTCTCTACAACGCGCTGCTTTGCCGGCACCTCCGACAACATGGACACCGTTGGAGTTTCGAGAATGGCTGGATTGGAATGTGACAAAGTGGCGATACGAACAAGGCTCAATGGCATTGCCATCCTTGGAGGACCGCAGCGTTGTTGTGCCAAATTTCCTTGGAGAGGAGTTGCGGTGTGTGGCTGCTGTGACTGAACGCATCTCAGAGCAGAGCTTTTTTCGTCTCGTTTCCAGCGAACGTCCGGATCTACAGCAACAGCAGCAGCAAGAACAACAACAACAGCAAGAAAAACAACAAAGACACCGACGACAAGAGCAGCGGCAACATCAGTCCGAGGCTTTTGGTCGCTTGGCCACGACATCCAGACGGACCTACAGAGGGGAGTTGGGGGTCGGCTCACCAATGTTCCTTAGTAGCAGTAGTGTTGTTGGTGGTGGTGTTGTTGGTGGTGGGGGTGGTGGTGGGGTTGGCGGGAGTGGTAACGGCGGCAGTGGGGGAAACAACAACAAGAGTAGCATCGGTAATGTGGGGGTGAAGCCATTCCCTTTCATAATGAGGTTGCCTATGTTGCTTCAGGGACTGCTAGTAGTTGCACACCGCGACAAGGCTACGGAGCTGCTGTGTCGCTTGGTGGATGCTGGTCCTCCAGCGGTAGCGGCATGTGCAGAAGTGGGTATTTTCAATATGGCTCTGATACATTACTGGGGCCGTCGTGACCTCCGTCACCTCATACCGACACTGTTGTTGATCTACGCTAAGGTATGCTACACGGATCCATCGCTGGCTGGAGTGGATGCAGCGCAGCGAGACATGATTGTGGATGTATGCATGGAATTCCTCGAGCACCCGGTTACCCTTCCTGCTGACTCCAGTGTAGAGCCTGGAGCATGGCAGCGCGAGGTTCTCGGCGCTTGGGCGGAGCCGCAAGGCCAGCAATTGCTAGCGGCAGCCTTACTTACCATGCTGTGTATACACTCTCCTGATGGGCGACGTCGCTGTCGTGAGCGTACCGCTCTTCGTGTGTGTTGTAGCTTGTTGCATGATGCTGCAGGCAAGGTACCATTGTTGCTGTCACAACAAAAGGAAACGGGGCTGAAGGAAAATGAGGATGATGATCCTTTAGCTGGGAATGACAACTTTTGGGACGACCACATATCTGGCGAGAGTGAGGTTGATCCGGCGATGATGTTTAGGTATGTCTTGTGCCTCATCGCCTTCTTGGTAGCACTGTCGTGGGAGGGAACGCCGTCGGCAGCCAGGGTGGGTGAATCACAGCTGCAACAAGATGACACGGACGAAGTAGTAGTGCGAGAACACCTTGCATGTGCGCTCAAAGCCCTGCAACGTCTTCTATATGCAACCTCTTCCACGGTGCGTGGTGCGTCCATTAAGGCCATTACTGTAATTATGGTCTCATCTAGCATTAGTGAAGAGACGGCGCTGCAGTGCATCCGCATCATCGCGGACCGCACCGGCATGCGACACGCGCCACAGGAAGCTAACACAGACGACCGTCTCGAGCTAGTTGGTGCAATCTTTTTGGCAATGCGTTGGCTGATTGATCGTCTCTCCGCTTCCATGTTGATTGAGGAGATACGACAGGCAGTCCACACGAAGTCGAAGCACATTGACCACGCAATGATGGAGACACACAACTGTGGGGATGCCCACTCCGGACAAGACTTTGGTGATGCAGACATGCATCTTTCATCTGCTGCAGGGTCGGGGGAGGTGGATTACCTCTTGGCCATGCTGGCCGGCTTCGCTTGTAGACTCGCTGTCGCAACGCACGATCCATGTCCGTACGTTGCCGCACATGCGCGAAAAGTTCTGTTGGACGATTTTTCGGTTTTGCGTGTGGGTCACCTGTTTTCTTCCCGCGCTGGGGGCACTGTCACCGGAGGCCGCGTGTGTGAAGCCGCCACGTCGCGCAATTCCGGCATTGCTAATTTCTTTTCAGGCGTTTTCAACACACTCACGTCGCGTGGAGGCAAGCCGGCATTACGTGGGGGTTCTCGTCGGGGCAAACGTGTGTTACAGGGCGTCGATGATGAGGATAGTGGCGGGGAGCTGGCCGATACAGACAGTGCCAGTGGCATACAAGCGGCGCTAACAGACGTGAACATTGCGCTACGCGCTGTTTCCGTGTACGACTGTTCAACCGTTTCATCTTTCATTTTTGCTATCCTCTCATTCCTTGGGGAGCTGCTCCTGGTGCCTATGGATGACTATGACCCACGCCACCCGTTCAACCTTGAAAAGGATGCGAGTGTTCGTAGGTGTCTGCGCCGACTGCGCGATGACCTACGCATATCGGCACCCCCCATCTCCAGTTCTCATGAACAAGACGTCTGCGCGACTATCTCTCCGTTGCTGCCGGCATCCCCGTCGCCCCTTCCTTATCCGCTAAACGTTGCAATGTCGTTGCCGCACGACGATGAGGCAAAAACACGCACACCACTGAATTCTCCTATGTTGAACTGTGTTTCCTCCTTTGGCCACAATACTGCTGCTGCTGCCTCCACCACTGGCAGTAAAGAGCGTGGTGCACTGTTTCAGCTGCTCGCTGAGAAAAATACATTTAGTGAACGCAATGGCCGAGTTCAGGTGCTAACGTTTAATCCAACGAAGCCGCACTTTATCACTGGAACGGATCAGGGTGTTGTTCAGGTCTGGTACTTTGGCAGCAAGAGAGAGGGTTTCCCAGCATCGACCGGAGGCTCGTGGGCTGTGTCAGCTGAGCACTGTGAGCTTCTGGCGCGATTTCACGTCTCGGAGGTGGTGCGGCGTCCAGACACTGCGGTGCCGAGGTCTGCGGTTCTGGGCTATATGTATAGCACACAGCCAGCAGCGCCACGGGACATGGGCGCGGCAGAAAAGTGTAACGTGGGAGGGGCGAGTGCTAGTGCTAGTGCTGGGGCCAGCACTAGTACTGGTACTGGTGTCGGGGCTAATGCTGCTGCCAATGCTGCTGCTGACGCACCGTGGCGGCGTGTTGCTTCCTCCGTGCCGGGCGATGTGGCAGGTCGTGGGGTAAAAGGTGTGGAGCCAATCACTGGACTGCATCTCGTCGATGCGGTCTACCGCCCCCTGCTCTGTGCGGTGAGTCGTTCGGGAGCCGTGTATTTGTTTGCCGCCTACACGGACATGGCCACGGTGAGTCGTGTCACGTCCTTTGTGACCATGACATATGAGGAATCGTTAAGAAGTCATCAGTGCCTTTCCTCTTACCACGCGCCGGCGATGCTTCTACACGTCAGCGGCGCGGATGGTTCCATCGCGTCATGGGATTTAAACTGCGAGCACAAGACCTCTGCAGGTGCTGGTCGTGGCGAAATTCTTGGTTCGCTCTCTGCTTTGGCATCGCACCCAACTGACGTGTTCAGCTTTGCCGTAGGTGCTGGTTCAGTGTACCTTTATGACCTGCGGAACCCATGCCGTGCCACGCACGTTTTGCCGAATCCCACTGCGTCAGGGAAAACACCGCAACATCAGTGGCTCAGTTTGGGCGACTACAGCTCCCCATGTCTCCACATTGGTTACTCGTGCCGCTACCCTCATGGCATTGTGACGGGATACGGTGGCGAGCAGGGTGTAGTTATGCTGTGGGATGATCGTAATCTGCGGCAGCCCGTACACCAGGCAGTTGTATGCGATGCTGAGATCAATGGCGCATCATCGCTGAATTCGGTCTGCTACATGGACACACAGCACTACAGTTACGCACTTATGACAATGTCGGTGACGGCAGACACCCTCGTCGTGGGTGATGCGTTGGGTTCTGCACTATCATCATCATCGTTAGCATCAACGCCACCGCCACGACGGCCACCCGCACCACCACCACTGGCAACTCCACCAGCAGCAGCAGCAACAACAGTGGGGGCTGCAGGCAGGGCGAATGTTCGTCTAAATCAGCAACCGGGCGCGGCTGCCTTTCACCCTGTCCTTCCTATTTGTGGTGTGGCGAGCGGGGGCTCAATACAGCTTTATGGATGCAAAAAGATCTCAGTGTCTGCGCGACACGCATAGCGAATATTTCCTGTTTGCGCATTTATGATCTTTCTGTTAGCTTCTTATTGTACGTGTGTATGGTGTAACGAATACGTGGGGTATGTACAGGCACATGTGGAGAGGTGAATAGGATGTTTCTACTTCTTCTACGGGATCCACTGTTGCCTTGCTTGTGCGTTTTTACCACGTTAACCCAGGGTGCTTATACGTAAAGATGAATTGTGGTGTCGTTTCTTGCGCTGAACTCAAGTGTATTCTTTGATTACTATTACTGCGACTACGGCCACAACAGCAGTTACCACTTCCCTCCCACCACCATTGCTGCCATCCTTGTGGCCCAGATTTCGATGGCCTAAGTGCGCATGTGCACGCAAGACGCTCCCTTCACCCTTAATTTCTTTTCCTTCTGCCTTTTTCTACCCCAGTGCCTGCTTGCCTTTACATTTGGTGCGCCTGTGGGGCGTTTGGTAAACCCTGACCATGGACAGATGAAACAAGATGACCCAGTGGCCTCTTCATCGTTGCGATTTTCCGTCGTATAACGAGTGGTGGAGAGAACGAGGAGGCTGACACCCCCGCAAGTAAAAAAAAAAAGAGAAAAGAAAGCCTCCTCGACTTCTCTTGTTGCGGCAATCATAGAGGGGATGGTGCGGGTCATGACGTGCATGTGCGGCACAACGCATTGGACTGGTGCTCCCAGAACAGCGGCGACAACTACGAGGCCAGTAGTAATAAGGGCAACGTGAACAATGAGGGCGGGGCAGCCGGCCGCTCCGCGGGCCAAACGTCCTTCCACGCGGAGGGACAATCTTTTCGTTCACCGGCATCCGAAGGGGCGTGGCGTGTCAGTGCGCGTGACGGAGGGCGGCCAGCGAGACTTAGCCGGACTCGCCGCCCATCCCCGCGGGCTGTGCTGCAACGGTACGGTGATGTACGCGATGCACGTTGGTGTCACGCGTTGGCGGGAGAGCACGGCATAGGCAGTCAGTGTCGCGCAGCGCACTCTCCTCGACGTAGCATCGTCGCAGTACCGCGTCGACTTCGTCGTGCCGTCTGGTGTGAGGCTGCTGTTTGTGCATGGCAAGGTTTAACAACTTCGCCAGGTGCTACAGCGCCTTTTTGCACGTTGACGGAACACGTAGAAGAGATGAAAGCAAGAAAAGGTACGGTGGCGGAGAATAGGAAGATGTCACTGACATGGATATCGACAATAATTGCCTCACCAGACAACACACTAGTGCGGAGGGAAGAAGAAAATGAGCAGTGAGATACACGCTGCGTGCTTGCGCATACATGATGCGCCTCCCGTTGTTTTTTTTTTGTTTTTTTCCTTTACCCGGGGCATTTGAACGAGGAGGAGACTTCTCTCCCACACTGCCCGCAGTGCGCTGGTTTATCCGTACAGGTATACCTATATATATATATATATAGGCTGATATGGGAATGCGAATGGATTTTGTTTTTAAAATCTTTGCTGTTGTTTGTTATTGTGCTTCAGCATCCTTCTCCGCAGTGCGGACTGCGGGGTGTGTGTGGGCGTGAAATGTAAGGGTGCGAGGGGGCGCGGCAACGTGCGCATGTCGTCCTCCCTGTGCGAGGAATAAAGAGGCTGCCACCTGGTTGCGGTTTTGTTTCTTTCTCACTCCGCCTGTTTTTTGCTTGGATTTGAGTGCTATTGCTCTCATTGTTCTTGTTGTCGTTGTTAGCTCTCCTTCTGTCTTCCATTTTTCTTTTTTTTTTTTGCCCTTTCCCTTCTCTGATGACCTCGCATGCGTGCGCTTTCCATGGCGCGCGGCAGATATCACACGGACGCGAGGGCCAGAGTTTCTTTCCTATCGGGCAAAACAAAGCGCAGGGGACCCCAGAGAGAGAGAGAGAGAGAACAAAAAAAAAAAGCCAGTGAGGAACCCGGAAACGAGACTGAAAAAAAAAAGCAGAGGGGCGTGGGCTAGCAATGGGCAGTGGCGCATCCTCGTCAAAAAAGGCCGGGAAGACCAACAAGAAAACTGGCAAGAAGGATGACGATGACATATTAGCTGCCAGCGGCAACGCTGACATGACGCTCGTGCCCGGTGGCAAAGACGCCGCGTGCTCGCTGTTCTGGCGGATGGGGAAGCACGAAATATGCCTTCTGTATGTCTCGCCCGTGAGGGAGGAGGAGGAGAAAGAGGAGGGCGCGCCTCAAGAGCCAAAAGAGCAAGAGACAGCGAAGGAGGTGGATGAGAAGCAGGACGGATGTGAACAGCAGGAACAAAAGCCCGAGGAAGATGGGCAACATGGGCAGAAGAAGGCGGAGGCCCCCAAGCCGGTGCAGTGGACACTCTACAATGACAGCCAGGGCCGCACTCTTAACGTCGTCGTGACTTTCCTCAGCGGCTTGGAAAAGATACGAGGTCTCAGTGAAGATGTCACGACTGAGTGCACTGAGAGCGGTGGCGTGCGCGCTACGGTGCATGTGGGGCCGAGGCAGACAGTGCCGTTCGTGTCCGGCCCCATTGGCGGCTACTTGGTGAAATGCCTGGCGACGAAAGCCGAATGACGTGGGGAGGGACATTTCGTGTGTACGCGTATGCGTATTTTCTATTTCTATGTGCATCTGTGTGCTTTGCTTCCTGACAGCAACAAACATGTTTTTCCTCCACGTTTTTTTTTCTTTATTTTGATATTTGGGACCCACCTTCACCTTATTTCCGTTTTTATTTTCTTGGCCGTCGATGCTTCCGCCCACAAACGCCTGGGCGGTGTGCCTCGTAACTGTCGCTCTCTGTGGTGCCCGGGGGTGGGCGGCTCCTGTGGCGGTCTGTGCGTGTTTCTTCGTTTCCATTCGTCTGTGTGTGGTGCCCGCTGCATAGGAGGTGGCTGATACGCCTGTCCTCATTTTTTTTTTTGTTTCGTTTTTGTTTCTCTGTATACTTGTTGGTGGTGTGTTACTGCTGTTGCTATCATTAGTTGCTGCTCTTGCTGCTGGACGCGGACTGCCTTTTTATTTTTTATTTTTTTTTTTGTTCTTCAAACATCTCCCCGACGACGAAAACAACTGTGTGTGTGTGTGTGTGGTTTGGAGAAAACAAAACAGACGAAGCTCAAATTACAGCACAGCAACACCAGGAGCAACAACAAAAGGCAAAGCATACCAAGCAAACAGTGACACCCGCAAAAGGATCCAAAAGGCAAATACAAGAAACAAGAGAAGCAAGTCGACAAAGAATCAAAAGAACAACAACAATGGGTTGCGGAGGTAGCAAGGCAAATGAGGCCAGGGAGGGCGGGGGCACGGACACCTTCATCAACGGCAAGCCTAGCGAGGAATTCCCGTATGACGAGCTTAGGAAGTGCACGGAGCGTGACAATGGCCTCCTCTTCCGCCTCACCAACTCACAGACCAAACAGTGGGCGTTCTACAACGACTCCAAGGTCTTCGAGTTCCACGTGACGGTGACCTTCTCTACCCGGTGCCGTGTGGAGGCGCTCGGCAGCACAAGCCTCGTGACGGACCCGAACGACAACCGGGCTGTGGCAAATGTGATTGTGGGACCGTGCATGACGGAACCCTTCGTGCAAGGTGATGTTGACGGCTTCGACGCGGAGTACCAGGCAGTGATGCTGACGCCGGAGCTCAAGGAGAAGATAAAGGCAGCAAAGAAGGCCGCAAAGAAGGCCAGCAAGGCTCAGACTGACGATGACCTTGAAGGCCAGCGTGAGTAAGGTGAGATGTAGCGGCTGTGTCTAACGCCGAAGACGAAAAGAGAGAAGGTGGGGAGGGAGGGGACGTAAGTGAATGTATGGGAGAGCGAAGAGTACAATCTCCTACTTACTCATTCCGTCACTTACTCAACGTACGTGTTACTGACTCCGTCTCATTTGATTATAACATGCGAATGGGATGAGGGGAGTTGTTATGGGGTGTGTGTGTGTGTGTGTGTGTGTGTTTGTTTGTGTCTGTCCCCATGACTCTTCCCGACATTCACCAACATAGTTCCCCGATCGGTTGTATCCCACTACCTTCGCTAGGTTCCATTACTTTTGTTTGATTTCTTTGTTTCATTTTTACATGGCCACCCGCGGTACTGGTGGGATATGCAATTGTTGTACACTTTGGTATTCCTGTATCGTTGCGGGCGATGGGGGCAGGTCTGGCTGCACGCCGGGCACATATCTATGCACATATATATATATTATATATATGTAATATATATATATAGGCGCATGTGTCGGTGCGTGCTGGGGGTTGGGTGGGGAAGGAGAGAAATGCGAAGGAAAGACATGGAAATACTTTTTTTTTCTTTTGTGCCTCATGTGTGTGTGTCTGTGTGCGCGCCTCTGCGCGGTGTCTCGGTCTTTGCGTCGTGTTGCCGTGCCCGCCTCGCTCACGCCGCACACACACACACGAGGCACGCAAAGCAACAGAGAAGCAAGCAAACCAGCAGGCCAACCGGAGCAAACAAAAAAAAAAAA